GTGGGAATGTTTTCCCTCCAGGTGATCTTGTTATTTGGCTCTCACTTCAAATGTGTCCTTTCTGGAAAGGTGGTCCCTGACCAACTTACCTAAAATAAAACTTCCTTTCTCACCTCCCATCCCCAGGGTCTTTAATCATGTTATATCACTTATAATCAAGTGAAAATACCCTTCTGTCTGTGTTCTTCTCTTAGCGCTATGAGTGCACATACCTTGTCTGTTTTGTTCATTTACATTTTTGAGAACTGTGTCTTGCTTATGATTGGTGTTGAGTAAATATTTGTTGAATGAATGGTTATATGTTTGGTTTTCTTATTTTTAGCAGGTATGAAAGGACTGTGGATAACGTGACAGCATCGGCACAAGTAATACAGAGATCATTTTCTTCTCCAGAAAATTATCAGAGACAAGCAGTGGTAGGCTGATATTTTTCAACTTTTGAGTTGCCTTAAAAAAAAAAAAAAAAAAAAACTTTAAAATATTCATGTTATATCAGATAATTGTTTTTAATTAACTTTATTGGAGGTTTCATTACTTAGGTCTTTTAGGCAAAATTTTCTTGAAAATTTTGAAATTCTTAGTATTAACTTTATCCTCAAATTTTTGTTAGACTAGCATGATCTTTATAAATTTTTTTCATTTTAGTTTTCATTGGGCTGACACACATATTTAGAAATCTGAAGGTAGAAGTAAAACTGCATTTTCTTTTTTAAGATTTTTTTTAAATATATATTTTTTAGTTGTAGATGAACACAGTACCTTTATTTATTTATTTTTATGTGGTCCTGAGTATTGAATCCAGTGCCTCACGCATGCTAGGCAAGTGCTCTGCCACTAAGCTACAACCCCAGCCCCTACATTTTCTTTTGTATTTCTTTTCAACCATCATTAGTGTGTGTTTGTGTCTGTGTGTATATATAACTATAGGTGAGTCAGTCTCTGAAGCTCTTGTTGTGTGTCCCGAATGACTTCTTATAAACTTCCTCAAATATTTTAATATACTTCAGTCTTCTAGACCAGCCTTGAACATTGTAGTCTTTTTTATAATAAAATCACAGTAAGACTGTCCTTTAGTGTTTCATCTTTGTTTCCACTTATTTGAACATGTCCTTCATTTTGCTTGTTTATTTGCCATAGTTCTTAAGTTTATTTCTTTCTTTTTGTTTTCCCACAGGTTTTTGTATTTTAATGGTCTGCAAAATAAGTATCCAAAGGCAGAGTTTGGAAACTAATTGGCCTAGTCATTTACCATGCCTCCATTTTCCCCTCATTAGTGTTCTCTTAACTTATTCACTAGTCATATTCATTGTCTTATTCCAATAAACCCTTCTAGCTCTTAACTTCTAGAACTCTTAATTGCTTCTAAGATCTGTAACCTGTCTCAGCCAGAATTATTTATTCTTTGAACCCATTCTGTGTTTCCCTATTATCTTTACAATTTTCTTTTCTTCCATACCTTCCCCTTGAAACATTTTCCTTAAATTACTCCATCTGTTCTTTTAATACATCATACGCCACTTTTATGAAACCTTTCCTGATGATACTGAGGTCTCAGTTCTTTATATGTTCATTTCGCAATGACTTACATGGTCATTTTATATGTGCTCTTCCCAAGTTGTATTCTTGAGGGCAAGATGAAGTATTTATTAGTATCTTATAGGTATACAGTGGGATGATTGAGGCTATTGTATTGTTAGGTTTAATACAGATTCTGTGTAGGCAAGAATGATTTTGCTTTTCTTTCATTGTCACTTTGGTTAACTGTGACCAAATATATATTAGCTTTGATATCTAGAAGTATTTGCAGTTAACATTTCTTTTTCTTCTTTCTTCAGATGAACAGTGTTTTGAGACAGATGTCTTATGGTGGGAAATTTGGGTCTTCACATGTGGATCAGTCAGGATTTTCACCATCAGTTCAGTCACATAATCATACTTTCAATCAGTCTTCAAGCTCCCAGTGGCGCCAAGATTCATCATCATCACAGCGTAAAGTCAGACAGAATTCTCATCCCTACCTTACAGATAGACATTATAGCCGCGAACAGCGTTACACCGATCATGGATCTGATCATCATTACAGAGGAAACAGAGATGATTTCTTCTATGAAGATAGGAATCATGATGGCTGGAGCCATGAGTATGATAACAGAAGAGACAGCAGTAGAGATGGAAAATGGCGCTCCTCTCGACACTAACTGTTAGTAAACGGACATGGTTTCATGGGATCATTTTAGGCCTGTTTGACTAAGTTGGTATGGAAATATTTTGAAAAACTATAAAGCAACTTTACAAGTTGCCACATTTCTTTATAAGTTTTTTAAAACCTAGAGCTACAGTTTAATACAGAAATGAGAAGAATTGTGGTTTCAATTTTATTACATTAATAACCTTTCACCTCAGGGCTTTATGAAGAGGAAAGGGTTTTATGCAAAAGAAATGCTACAATTCCTACTCATTTTAGGTAGTTTAGGAAGGGTGAATTGTATAGAGGGGTTGTATTATAAAGCAAATATTTTAATTATCTGTTGTCCTTTTGTATTGCAATTTGTTAGTGAATCAGATTTTGGTGTATATAATAACATCCAACTTGATAGTCTGCAAAGGCTATCTGTATTTTGTTAATAAATTAGAAAAAAACTTTCTTTTCAGTGATAACATTTTATTGACATTTTATTTGAGAACGCTTATTGGGTTAAGTTTGGGGATAAATCATATTGCGTAACTGAGAATTTAAAAGTGTAAATTCTATGACATGCTTTTTTGAGTTTTACCCCAATTGAACATATAAATGTACACATATTATTTCAGTCTAAAATTATAGAATTTGTTCATTCAATCATGTTGTATGACTGGTCTCAGGAAATGAAATATCTTTACATGTATATTTTTACATTAAAAATTACAGTGTTAGTATAAATCTTTT